GCCCCGCCCCCCCGCCCCGCCCCGCCCCTCCCTTCCCCTCCCCCCGCTGTCTGGGGGCCGGCCCCCATTGGCCGGCCTCTCACGGAGCCCTGCCCCCGGCAGCAGCGGGCCAATGAGCGCGCGGCTGTCAGCTCGTCAGCCGCGCCGGCTCGGAGACTGTGAGCCCGAGCGTCGGCCGCGGAACCAGCAGCTACGAGCGCTCGCCGAGCGGCCGGTCGGTGGGGTCCTCGCGCCCCGCACGCCCGCACGCACGGCCCGGCCCGCAGTGAGCATGGGCGCGGCGGCCGTGCGCTGGCACTTGTGTGTGCTGCTCGTCCTGGGCGCGCGCGGGCGGCTGGCGGGGGGCAGCGGGCTCCCAGGTAAGCCCTGAGCCGGTGGGCGGCGGGCGCTCGGCGGCGGCGGCAGGGTCCCGGGCGGGCCCCCAGCCCCGCGCCGTCGGGAGGGCCACAGCCCGCGCGGCCCCGCGCCCCGCCCTGCCTTTTTGCAAAGTAACTTCTGCGGCCGGCGCGGGGCGCCCCTCCCCGCAGCCCGGGCGGAGCGAGGCTCCCGGAGCCCGGCGGGGCCGCAGCATGGGGCGGGGTGGGCTGAAGCCCCGTGGGTGGGGGGAGTGTGAGGGCGGGAGGAAGAAAGAAAGCACGACGGCCCGCCGAGGGCCCCCCGCCGTTCCCCGCTCCCCGCCTGAAGGCGGGAGGGAGTGGGGACCCCGGAGCCAGACGGGCGCTCCCCCAGGGGACACGGGAGCGCGGGCGGCAGGAGGCCCAGAGGGGAGACCCGGAGGAGGTGAGCAAGGGGAAAAGGACGGACGCAGAGAGAAAGAGAAGGGGGAGGGGGTAGATGGAGAGACAGACGGACAGAAGAGGAGGCACACAAAAGGACACAGGAAAAAAAAACCCCAGAGAAGGACAGACTGGAAGAGTGGAGACCAGAAAGACCAGAGAGGGAAAGGAGGGGACCGAAGGGAGTAAGGCGGCAAATGAGCAGCAGGAAGGAAAAGGCTCAGAAGAGGGGTGTGTGAGGGCAGGACTAAGGGATGGGAACGAGGAGAGAAGAGAGGTGCAAGCGGAGAGGCACCGGAGAAAGAGGTGGGAGGACTGAGGGAGGGAGGAGGCAGCGAGACATAGGGAAAGCGAGGAGGATGGGG